AATATATATATATATATATATGAGGTGGTAGAGCTCAAAAAGATCTACAACCCTATATATATATATATATATCGTCAAATAGAACTGCCCGGTAAACCGTAGGCAGAGAGGGAGAAGAGGACAACAAACGAGGGGCTGTGACAAACTGTTTCGTCGGAGTTTCACCGACTCATCAGGAGGCTGAACCCTCAACAGTCTGTAGAATCCCCTCACTGATTACACTGTAAGTGATAATCCAACTTAACCAAAATCAAAGTAGACTATCACTCACCCACACCAGATGGAAAACTCTACAGACTGTCGGTTCACACCCCATCACCGACTCATTATATATATATATTTTTTTTTTTTCTTTTTTTTCTTTTTGATTATTTTTAGCCCACGAAAAAAATCATTGCGGGTGTGATTGTAACCCGTCTAACGGGCTTTTCAGCGGGATTCAAAGCGGATTCAAATCATTGCGGGTGTGATTGTAACCCGTCTAACGGGCTTTTCAGCGGGATTCAAAGCGGATTCAACGCGCGTTGAATCTTTCAACGGAATCGATTTCCAGACACACAGCCAATCAACAGTTGTGTCACCAATCAACCGTTGTATCACCAATCAACAGTTTCCATAGCGGAGATCGATAATTTCGCCAAATATGGATGGCACCTATGACATAGACCGAATACTAGAAGAAGATGTATTCCGGACTGGAGGTAGAAGTCATCCCCAGAAGCAGTACAAAGTCCGATTTGCGGACCATGAGCCTGAGGACGACAGATGGTTCACAAGGACTGAGCTTCTAGAAACCGCTCCCGCCATAGTGCATGCTTACGGGAGAGCAAGAAAAGGTAAAGGTCCTGCCTTGGAGCAAAAAGTTCTCGGAGGACCTCAAATTTAGGACGTCGGGCGTAAAAGGGTTTCACCCAGTTCGCGCAAGGGCTCGATCCCTAGACCTGCCCTAACCCTTATACAAATGCCCGTTAACCTGTGTGTTTTGAACCCGGGACCTGTCCCTAAAACATATACAAATGTTTTGTGCTTGCAGCTTCGGTCGTGTGGACTTGATACGTAGGTTAGCTTGGGTCGTGTGGACTTGATACGTAGGTTAGCTTGGGTCGTGTGGACTTGATACATAGGTTTTGAACCCGCGACCTGTCCCTGAGGGTCGTCTGCAAGTCCTTTGAAGGGTCACTACGTTGTGGGTAGAATTGTCCTCGAAGAGTCAAGTTGACCTTTCCTAGACTGAACGGGAAGTCCGTTGATTTCAGAACGGTCAAGAGTCCCAAGTCAAACATCAAAGGGGCAAGCGAAGGGGCAGTCCCAGTCCAGCCTGTTTTTGCACGAAGTACCAGAGTGGGACTGCACATCCTGAGGGACTGGGACATCGGCAGGCCCAGACCACCGAACGAAACAGTACAAATAAAGAGGCAGCGATCGGCCGTTCACATCCTGGGGGAACTACGTGGAAGCGCTGCCGAGTGACTTGTGCGTTGAGTTCGCCAGTGGTCCGCAAGAAGCCCGACGGTGGACGAGGGCGACGGGCCATAACCGCCAGTGAGGAAGAAAAGGACGGCGGCCATAGCCGCCAATGGGGCAGACTTAGTAGTTAGTAGTAGGTATGTGTGTGGACATTCAGGGTAGATCATCGTAGGTATGTCTGTGGACATTCAGGGTAGATCCGAGTGTGTGTGTACACGTGTACGAGTGAAGTGTGGGTGTGTCTGATGGTGAACATAGTGTGAAGGTGGAAGTTCAGACTGGCGCTCAGACGCCATAGCTGCCAGGTATGGCAAGTTGACTTAGGCTTGGACCCCACTGGCCGGCGGCTGGAAACTGGTGTTGGCCATAAAAAATGGCCGACCGTGGTTGGAAACATTCTTCCTCCTTTCATTGGGACCCCGCCGCAGGCCGATAGTTTCGGCATTGGAAAAGTTTGGGCATACCCGAATAGGAAATCGCACCAGGGTGTTTCCCAAAAAGGCAAGCCCGGCGGGGGCTGTGGTCCATGGTCTGCTTGCGCAGCCAATGAAGTGTCTACAAAACGCCACGACGTCCAGCCCGATCCTGGAAACTGTTTGACATGCCCCCCACCCTACTCGTCTGGAGGCGTCCTTGGAAATGGCCTGGAAACTCGTCGCCAGAAATTTCCAGACCGCGAGCCTAGTAGAAACGCCCCGTCAGCTTTTCCACGACCTCTTTCCAACCCCAGTGGGGTCTGAAATTCCTTTCCGGGCCGACTTTCCGCAATGGTTTCCAACACCTGTACACTTCCTCGCCAAAACTTTTCCACGCCGCCGGCCAGTGGGGTCCAAGCCTTAAGCGGAGTTCCTGGCCGAAGGCCATATCTCTGAGTTTTCTGTGTGGGCTCACTGCGCGATCTCACTCTTGTTGCTGATTCTACTCCGAGAAAGTTGTTTTGCCWTCGGAATGCATGTCGCAAGTGAAGTCAAAGACAAGTCTGATTGCAGTTAGATACACAGGGCCCATTTTTGGTTATGCGCAAGCCGAGGCCAACCTYTTGATCATGCATTGTGAGAGGCCCCACCTTCCGCGYGCTGGCACCACCCACTGCCAAATTCCRCAGCTCTGCAAAAGGTCAGTCCCTACTTTCCATGCACCGGCCTGCTTGCAGCCAGCTTTTTCTTTTTGTATTCGTGGGGAGCAGCACGTGCTGGGAACCGGGCCCAGCGTCCCATATGGAAATTTACATAGAATTTTGAAAGTTTGAGATACCGGGGCCATTACCCGGCTTTGGCTAAGAAAAAAATGAGCTACTTAGAAAATTACTACGACGAACTTTCAAAAATATGCAAAATTCAGAAAACTGTTTGCTTGCTGCCAGCTCAATACATATAGGGCTTATTTTCCATCTCACGGACTGTCTGGGGCCGGTTCAATACGTAGGCCGTACTTTCGATGTACCGGTTTCAGCGCCGTGGAGGGAAAAGTTGTCGTTTGATAAAATAGGCTCGGCACGACACTGGTGGTCCAAAGTTCGTACCATGAGCCTGTCCATGATCTGCAGCATGTTAACCAGCGCATTGGAACAGGTGCCAGCGAAACCGACTGGTTGTTTTCGTACCATGAGCCTGTCCATGATCTGCACCATGTTAACCAGCGCATTGGAACAGGTGCCAACGAAACCAACTGGTTGTTTTCGTACCATGAGCCTGTCCATGATCTGCACCATGTTAACCAGCGCATTGGAACAGGTGCCAGCGAAACCGACTGGTTGTTTAAAGCAGGTTTGTCTAATATGATGAGGAATGGTGAGGGTGTGGAGAGGCAAATGGGTCCCAGACAGTCCGGGACAGAGAGGGGGGGGGGGGGGGGGGGGGGGCAAAGGGGGGGCCAAATGGGTCCCAGACCACCGTTAGCACTTGTCGACGATGAAGGATGTGTATTCAAAGTGCCTTTTTTCTCCGCCCGCATTTACTCTGGTGTCGACCTTTCGATGAATTCGAAGTGGCTTTTTTTCTCTGCCCGCATATACTCTGGTCTCGACCTTTCGTCGCCGGGTGGCCTCCTCGAGTGATGACTTTGGGGCAAAATATTTCCCGACAGTCTTGGGTCTAGAGTCTCGGTCAGCAGTCTATTTGTTAGATGGTCTGGCATAGAGCTACGGCCTTCACCAGAATAGAACGCATGTGTCGTAAACGAATACAACGCATAGTTTGCTTCCTATTCGAATACAACACATGCGTTCTATTCAAGCGTCTGCTATATTTGAATACAACGCATATGCGTTGTATTCAAATAAAAAGGAATATGTGCGTTGTATTCAAATAGAAAGGAATATGTGCTGTCTCTTATACACATCTAGATGTGTATAAGAGACAGCCATTACAACACATGCGTTCTATTCAAGCGTCTGCTATATTTGAAAACAACACATATGTGTGCTATTCGGATCATAGTTTTTTTGCCAAAAAACTCGAATACAAGGCATGTGTTATGTCCGGGGGACTTCCCCGGTAGTTGGACTACATATCCTGGCAGGATGTCAGGCATAGGACGACGGTCTTCACCCGAATTGAGATCCCAGTCAGTGTAGCTGTAGTTGGGACACCTTTCAGTCCAGATACAGCGATAATTACTGGGCCCAGGGCGTTCTATTCGGGTCGAGACGGTGGGAATTCATGTTCATCGGGCTGCGCCGGAACAGTGAAGATGTCCTGGCATCAGGCTGTTCATCTGGCGCCGGAATGGCAAAGATGTCCTGGCATCAGGCTGTTCATCTGGCGCAGGAATGGTGATGCGGTCCTCTGGGATCGTGAGATGAGTGGCTGTTAGCCAGTCCTGTTTTGATCGGATGTAAGGGACACTCGACCCAGTTTCCACCAGGTGCAGCTGCCCACGAATAGACAAGGGCCATCGATCAATGCCACCCCCAACCACCTGGGGCTTTTACACCCAGGCGGCAGGGGGGCTGCTACCCTTGAATAATTAAAAAAGAAAAAAGAAGAGGGGACGGGAAATAAAAACAGTACTAGTCTCGAGCAGTGCTTACAGCACCATCCTTTGGTGGGCTTGCTTTTTCAGTCACATTGTGCTCCAGACACTCTAATAGTCTTCCCATCTATAGCCCAAAGCCTGTACTTTTTTTTTCTGCCTATAGGCTATAGGGTTATACCCTTTCCACATGGTGCCAGTCTCTCTATAGTTCTGTCGTCTATGCCTGGAAGCCTATAGTTTTTCTGCCTATAGCTTGAACCGCCAGTACGCAGCCCCAGCCAGCTCCGAAAAACTCATAGCTCACTCCTAAAGACTTGGGAGGCTCGGGGCTACCGACAACACTGCCTGGTGGCGCCAGCCAAAAAAGAAAAAAAAAAAATTTGCTGCTCGCGGTTGAGCAAAAGCTTGGCGCACAGTTCGAGTCCCTCCCAGACCCAGACTCACATGTACTGGTTGCCTGAGAGAGCCTATTGTTTTTCCACACTTACAGCTCAAGCCATGCACCAAGGTAGTCATGACCCACAGAGACAATAGTTTTGCCAAGATTTGCCAAATCAGCTAGAAAAGCAACAGAGCCTTTAGCCTGCAAGTGGACATACTAAAGACTATAGCTATCGATAGCAAAAGACTGATGAACCGCCCCCGACACCTCTCACAACCTTGTTTTTTTTTAAAGGAAAAAAAAAAGAGCTCACCACCTGCTGTAGAGTATAACATACTCAATCAAGGACCCTTTTTCAGAATGAAGCTGGACATTTTTCGCGGTCAGGTACACCAGCAAATTCCAAGTGCCAATGAGTACAGCCTACGTCCTCGCTACTGCCTCAGACATGCTTTTCCACAGCTGAATCATTTCTTCTAAACATGCTCTACAGAAAGACCACAGCTTCTGCACTCTAGATAGAAAGCTATAGCCTTTATTTAGGACTAAAGCCCCCCGCCGTACCCGAAAAAAAAAAAGAAAGGTACCAAACATCGGCATCGCCTCTCCAAACACCACCCGCCCCCCACCCCCACCCCAAAAAAAAAAGAAAAAAAAAAAAAGAAGGGGATTGCCACTCCAAGGACAGGAGACCAGAGAGTAGAGCACACAGGAGATCTTACCTCCTACCGAAATCCGTGAACTACAGGCTCTCAATTGGCTGGTGACCAAAACTTGGCTAATCGTGCCCGCGCTCAATGGAACCACAACCATTCACCATTTTTTTTGTCGACCCTTCCCAAGGACAAAAGACTAGAGCTAAAAGGAAACCTTACCTCCTCCTACGAAAATCCGTAAAACACTACAGGCTAGCAATTGGCTAATGGTGCCTGTGCTGAACAAAAGCGCAACCATCCATCATTGTTTTGATTCCCCCGTGCCCCTCCATCCCCCCCCCAGTGCCCACCGATCCCCCCCCCCCTTCCCTCTCTCCCCCTCCTCCTACGAAAGTCCATAAAAAACTACAGGCTAGCAATTCGCTAATGGTGCCTGCGCTTAACAGAAGGTCAACCATCCACAATTGTTCTTATCCCCCG